TCGCGCCCAGCTCCGAGTAGGCTGATGCCAAGCACCTTCGTCTGGTACTGCTCATCCACGTCGGTTCAGGGTGTTCGTGGGATGAGAGGCGGGTCGTCGGATCAATTCGAGCGTTTGCACCATGTGCCGTCGAGATGTTCCACACTTGACAAGTCATCCTTCAGAAGATGTTAGTATACATCCGTCGAAAAGGGTTCACTCACAATTTATCATCCTCGACCTCACAACTCTTCAGCACATATAGTGTGCCACGATAGCTCTTTGTCCATGGCGGAGGGTGTTCGTAGTCTTGTTTGGCACACTGTTTCAATTCTCACATCTCGCGAGATATTGACGGCGTGTGCGTTGATACAAGATGGGCTGCAAGGTGGCAGTCTGTCGTAGTCTGAAACCCGGCGCTCGGCGTGTGCCCGAGGGCATGTCCTACTGGGCACGGTATTAGTGACTGAATCAGGAAACGAACTCTGACTCACCTTTCCAGGTACCGGGCTACAGTCGAACCACCCCTGTAGTATTGACCTGAGGTGGTTGATGGATTGGGCTGGTCGCAAGTTCGGTGTTCGGCGCAGTCTTCAATTGTATTGGGCTGGCCGGGACATAGCTGCAAAGGAAGATTCGCTCGTGTTGTCATGATGAGAAAGAGACGCAAATTCGGTCGGCTTGGTGGCTAGGCTCACAGGTGTCATCCACGCGGGATATAATGATGCGGTTGAGACTCGTGACCCTGGCCCTAGCTGATAGACACGACCGATGGCGAAACATCAACGGGCAACGGAGCTCGATGAGTGCATCCATCGGGAGGTGTAGGGTCTGTATCAGTGAGTAACGAGCACCGGCACCGAAGATCAAAGGCGAGGAACTTATCTTGGGCAGGGGCCTGTGAAAACAGAGGGGTCTTTCCGCATATGATGCTATGCTCAAGATACGGGCTCGCAGACCTATGTCGCGCCCATTCCTCCCTCAGCGATGACGAGCGCTGTATTGCCGGATCTGCTCACAAAAGCTTGTGGTACACCACGCAGAACGGATCGAATGACTTGTTTGGCCCAATGGTAGCACCCAGCTGTAAAGTTCAACGTGCGCTGCATAACGATTTATAATGCGCTTAGGAGAAGAAAACTGGCAAGCTACCAATGGAGACTTCTCGCGCAGTTGTAAGAGGCAGCAGGGAACGCAACGCATGGTTGATTGTGACGCAAAGCATTGTGTCTCAGCCGTTGAGCAACATTCGCTTCATTCACTTATCGTATGACCGCAGGGAGCTGGCGCTGTCGCTGGTCCTGCACGAAGGGGATGAATTATATGCCTGCGATCTGCTGTTGCAAGACAGTCGTATGTCTCTCCAAAGGAATCACTGTCGTCGAAAGCGATGACTCTCTATCCTCTGGAGACAACGACTCTGGAGACAACGACACCATATTTGATAGGGGTAGGAGAATAGCAGAAAGTGACGAGCCTTATGGCAGGTCTGCATGCTCCATGGTCATCTTCTTGGACTGGTCCATGCCGATCGTTGTCTGTCCCGAAAAGCAAAATCTGTCCACCTATCGGATAGACTTCCGGCGTTCTTCTCACTCGTACCCCCCACAGGTGAGGATGCCGATCTCACCATCAAGGTTTCCGACCACTAAGCATATCGCTGCATCCATGTACAACGCATCGTGTGTTCTCGGTCGGTATGTTGGTCGCATGGCTGCCTCCACTTCCCAGAAAGTGGAGTAAGAGCTGGTTCTCGGCTAAGACTGCAATTCAGTCGGCATCGGTGGGTAAGAGGGAAAAAAACGAGGGATCCGGCAATTCCAATTCTCGTCGACTGACACTTCGAACTGGCTAAAGCGAGATACATCGCTTTCATGGCGAAGGTGGTGACGATAGAAGATGCATGCGAGGCTCGTTCAGCTGCACGTCATGTCTCGCAGTGTCTTGGCTAGTGGCCCTGCAATATAGTCAGCATGTGTCTGATAATGAGGGCTACTCACGGTCTTGTTATCTAGTCTCACCCTGCACCTACGATGGACGACACTACCAAGACAGTAAAAGAGTCGTCTTGGGGAGACAAGTCACAACCCTAAACCGACCCAACGCATCTTCCGTCTTGTAGTTTCATGAGGTCGGTTGGTTCCGTCTGTCCCCCAGCCACGATCATGGCTGACGATTAATGGGTGGTGATGGGGCAGAAGCATCGAGCAGGCGTACCTATTTCGACAAAAGTTCAACCACACATAACTTGTGGCCGCGATAACGTGCACCAGTAGCCTTGCTCAAACACTATCAGAACCCCGAGCCATCCAGGATAACGGCGACATGTGCATGGGAAAGGCTCGAGGATGGCGGTGTTCGATAACCAGAGGTCTCGCTGGTGATCTCGCTGGACGCACTGTTTGACAAGCACATGACAGCAGTGGAACCAAAGTTTGTCTCATGAGGATTATTATCGGTGTGACTGACAGGTAGTTGTATAACCCTGGAGTGCTGAATTGGGGCTATTGTATAGACCTGGCCGGTCGTAACATTGGGAGTTTCAGCACTGTCCGACGGTATGCGGCTGACAAAGGACTTACCTGCAGGATGCCTCACTTGCACTCTGGTGGTCAAAGAAGCTAGTCAGAAGTCCCATTGTTAGCTCCACTCGACAAGGCAAATCGATACAGCACTCACCAAAGGATTCTCGCCAGTCAAGGCTCAGGCTCTGGCCCGCAGGCACGAAGACGGGTACAGTGGAGTGAACCGCTAGTGGGTAGAGGGGGCCAGGTGACTCGGTGGCTTCTGTGTGCACCGAGGATGTCAGTCACAGCGAATGCTGAGGGTCAAGGAGAAGGGACTCATGACTCTGTTGCATGGGTATCCGTCAGATACAATGAGGAAGATACTTATTTCGACAGAGAACCGAGGGAGGGAGGCCATATTTATAGGTCTTTTGACTGGTCTTGTTACCGCCTGCTTTGTATTGCCGCGGTAAAGTATTTTCTGTCTGCAGCTTTTTGGGGGCATTGTTTTCGAGGGTATCGAAGTAACCCGTGCAAAGTCAGTCCTGTTGAACCTCGACTTACAGGGCTGACGGGCTATGCAAAAGTCAACAAGCAGATGAAAAGTGAATGGTCATGGTCAGAGTGAATCATGCCTTCAAGTCAATTTCTGGAATTTTAACATAATAATAAAATTTTAAATTTTATTTTTTTTTTAATGTTTAATTTAATTATTATTGTGTCTGAAGAGCGTTGATCAACGATCAACCTTGTCTCAACGACCTTATTTTCAACAGTTGAACACGATGGGCAGCGATCATCGCTCGACTGCGACAGCATGCACCTTTATCACCATCATCTGCACTTCAGGATTGGCTGTTGATTCAAAACAGAGGCCGGCGATCATGCTGTGTTCTGAGTAAGTCGCTTCACTTGTTGATGATCGAATCTTCAGGGTCTAAGCCATCGCCCACTCAAAAGATTTCCACTGAGTGTACTGCAGCCATGCTGCATTGATTGTGGTGCTACAGCTCTTATTTTGACCCGCCTGGGACAACAAACATCGATGATTGAGACCATCAGTCGGACTTCGGCCAATGCTAGCCAAAGAGCCTTTTATGTTGGAATTCCAGATCTACTGAGATCAATGGTCAAGGGGCGCCCAGTGACTACGATTCTATACCTGATGTCTGTCTATGCTGCTTTTCGGGACTGATATTACAGAATGTAGAAATGCGATTATCACACTATCCATTGGTACAGATATGGCGATCGACAACCAGAGTCTTCTTGAATGTATTATGACAAGACAAAATACATAGAACAAATCTGAATGCAAAAAGCGCTAGGAACGCAAATATCTCCCAGGTGCATTCACAAGCTTTCTGAAGTACTTGGTCTCCCCCACATAGAGAATCGAGCTGTTTGAATTTCCAGCAACCCTAAGCCATTGCGGATTCTCGCATTTCATGTCCGTTTTGGCACGAAGAGGTCGCTGCAGGTATATTGGAGGCTGCGACAAAACCTCGCCAGCACAGGCAATTTCAAATATGGGACAGTTCAAGAAGGGGGGCGGTCCAGAGAGGCTCATGGCCACCTGATGCTGGGTGAGGGAAATTTGATAGTGTATGGTCACCCCTATTCCCAGCAGCCATTTCAGGGATTGGTCAGGCAGAGTGGTGATTGCCCTGGAGAGTCGGTGCAAATCGCTTGTCTCTAAGTTGGTCCATTAATCGCCGTATGAATTTTCGTCGAGCTTGGATTCACACGAAGGAAAAAACACCTAGAGGCATAGATTAGATGATACTCGCGAAGATCGGCTTGAGCGACTTACGCAGCCGAAACATAGATTTCTCCACAGACAGGTCCTGTGGAGGCAGTTCCACACAATCATGGGTTTTTGCAGTCATTTTAGCTTCCACACTTGATTCAACGGTAATTCTTGTGATGAGGAAGGGTGGGGAGAAAGGACGATGAATTTATAATTTCAAGTGACAAGATAGAATAGATGAGGAAGAGTAAGGCCTAGCATACAAAGCAGGATGGAGATTTTGAAAACACTCGTTATCAGTCCCAGACCCCTGAAGACCTATCCCATATACAGCTTGGTAGGTTGTGAGGATCTCACGTATCGTTTGGTGAGGAGCGTGTCTTCCAAATGAATAAACAACATTAAGAAAGCTATAGTCGACTCTAGATACAAGACGTAGGGCGAGGAAGCAAAAGGAATATAGCTTCCTCGCGTTCAGGGGAACCCAGATGCGCCATGTGGGCCCGTTTCCTCCGTTAGCGTGTCCGCTTCGTGTATATCCCTGACATAGGTGCGAGGAATATCTTGACCGGTCCTGGGAGCTCTTGAGATCCTAGAATGCTCGCTCAAGATCCCAGGATCAAATTTGTATTTTCGGGGATCCATGTGCGGTATCCTCGGGATAGGCCCTTTGATTTCAAAATCGAATCCTTCAAGCCATACAGCAACACCTCGAGTATCATGCATTCCAGTTCGCTCAAAAGTGGCTTCCGAAGAAGTCTCTGATGAATGGGTGGACGTGTCCGGAGGAATTAGAGCTACACACATTCTTCACATTTTTGGCGAAAAACAAGACCAACGTGCAGCTCAGTACCTTCCATCAAGCCACTAGCGCCCTACTGAAACTAAAGGGCCCGGTTTCCGCGATCCGCCATGCCGCTATCCATCGCCTGATCCAGGATCGTGAATCGCTCCTACAGATAAACCGTGTTGCCATTGAACTTGTGACGGCTATCAGTGGATCTTCACACTCTGAGAAGCCTTGCCGTCTCTTTAACTTCTTAAAGACTAGACTTCCGAAATCAGACCAGCTTCCGGAGCAGCCTTTTAAATCCAAAAGATCTCTGCGAAGACGTCGCTACGGGAAATGTAGCCACAGCTCACGCTGCTACCTAGATCTACCAACAGGGTCTTACAATGGGTTGAAGGACTTTTCACCCTGGAAGTTGAACGTTTCCTGCATGCTGTATTTTGATGATATTAGCTAGAACTCATCGTGCTCTGTCATATCTGAAGTGAATAAATATACCTGAAATAAAGCTGGCTATGTCTACTGGTTCTCAACACGAAACCGGAGCAATGGTCCATAGGTCATGAATGAGAAGAATCATCGCAAATCCTGCCAGACACACGCCAGGCCGTCATAAGTGCCTTTGACTTTCGTCTTTGTGGTGGGCACCACCTCCGTCAAAATCATCTACTGTGATCGCGATCGTGTCTGAGGGGTGATGATGGTGGCTCCTTATGCCCTAGAGTGGAAGAACAGTGTGAAATGAGATGTAAAATGGGTTCCTGCCCGACCTTTAAGTTGAGGCTGCCTGGTGCATCTTTAAGCGTATTCAAGAAGAATGCAACAAAATTTCAACTTGTTTCCACCATACTCTTGTCAGATGAGTGCAACACTGAATTATTTGTACCTTTGGCACAATCCGGGCGTCTCAAAGAAAAACCAGTGGTGTCATAATTTTATCAGTGTTGATGTTTAAAATGTCCAATGTGACTTGAAAGAATGGAATCCTTTTGAATCGACGGCCTGTTACGTACATGATGAGATCAAGGGCTGTTTAAATATATAGGACAAGAGCTACGACGACTGTCAAACATTACGGAGTTGATTGATTGACTGGGAAACTTCCACTGAAGACAGCCGGTAATCGTCTTTCGCAGACTGCCAGATTATCTTCTGAGGCTGCGTTTTCATTTCCGCCGGAATAGCGAAACATGACTGATCAATCTCTGCAGCCTTTTGCGTACTGTATTGCCCATAGGCCTTAACCGGGCCTTGGTCTCCTCGGGTCCCTAGGTCTTCTCCTCGGTTTCCTCCACGTTTTCCTCCTTGGTTTCCTCCTTGGTCTGCACCCTGGTTTGCTTCCACCACATAGAGGCGTAGCGGCCCTTCAAATTGAGGAGTTCCTGATGAGTACCTCGCTCAACCACTTGACCGTCGTGAAAGACTAGAATGGAATTCGCACCTGTCACCGTGCTAAGCCGATGAGCAACAACGAGTATGGTCCGATCATGAGCAAGATTTGCAAGGGATTTCTGCACGTGTTCTTCGGTGTTCGTATCGAGCGAGGCCGTGGCTTCGTCTAGCAAGATGATCTTTGCTCCTTTCAGTATCGTGCGAGCAATGGCCACGCGCTGCCTCTCACCACCGCTCAGGCAGAGTCCTCGTTCGCCAACCATGGTGGCATATCCGTCGGAAAACCCCAGGATTGTGTCGTGTATACCGGCGGCACGACAAGCCTCGTATACGTCTTCTTCTGTCGCATCCTGGTGAGCGTATTTCAAATTATACATCACCGTTTCATTGAAGAGCACTGCATCCTGTGGTACGACTCCGATATGCCTGCGAAGAGAATCGATTGATATGTGGCGTACGTTTTGTCCGTCAATGAAGATGCCGCCCGCCTGCAGATTGTAAAATCGAAAGAGAAGCCGAAATACGGTTGATTTGCCTTGGCCAGACTCGCCCACCAAGGCAGTCGTAGTCCCGGCTGCACAATGGAAAGAAACTCCGTTTACGGCATTTTTCTTGCCACCGTATGAGAACGTGGCATTTTCCAACCGGATCTCACCCCTGCATGTAATGAGCGGAAGAGCCTGGGGACTATCTACAACGGCGGGTTGCTGTTGGAGCAGCTTTAATGTTCTTTCTGAATTCATCAGGAGTGTCTGGACCGACTGAGAGACACCAGCGGCAAAGTTCAAAGAACTGCGTAGTTGCAACAGGTACGTCGTCAAGCTCATGAATTGGCCAACGGACAGGTGCCCTTGCGACACTCGATGCGCTGTCATGAGACAAATGGCCAAAAAGCTGATCATAAAGAAAGCAAGCTGATAATTATCCGACAGCGCTCGATACAGCGAGTATCGATACTCGGCGATCTGGCGGGTTTCAATGGCATTGCAGTAGCGCTTTGCCTCGTACTGTTCCGCATTGTAGTATTTCACTGTCTCGTATAGTTTCAGTGATGCATTCCTGTAGCCGAATGTCAGTACTGTATTTCGAAGCGCCGTAGTCCCGACACTTACTTGACTGAGGATTCTTCCCGGTAAGCGACGACCGTTCGTCTTTGGAGCTTGCTTTCCCCCTTGGCCAGGCGTGCAGTCAAACAGATGTAGCCGAATATCAAGATACATAACATGAGACTCGTGTATTTGTCAAAGAGGATCCAAAAACAGCCCACTGCGATGCCGAAATCAACGAATGTAGGTATGATCCGGAATGTTACCAATTCTAAAAACGCAGTGATCGCTTCCCCGTCTTTCATAGCCGACAACAGGTCCTCATTTTGCTTGCCTAGATGAAAGTCCAAGCTTAGATCGTGTACGTGTTTGAAAGTAGCGGTGGAGAGCTGCATGGAACAATGACGCCTGACATGGTCCCAGAGAATGGAATGCAGGGATTTCAGCAGTCCTTTTTCGCCTTGGAGCCAGATGTAGATAATGTACCGCAGAATATCCCGGTAGGAATTATTTGAGACGTCAAGGAGTCTTGCAAACATGGCCTCCGTCTGAGAGGGGATGAGAATGTTGACGATACGCTGGAAAGCCATGAGAGCGAAGCAGAGACAGGCAACAAGCTGTAGATGACGTGACTTTGAGGGCCACATGTATGGAATCAGGGCTTTGTAGCTCGTGAAACATTTCCGCCAGCCAACCGACGGTGTCCGTTTCGTGTTTTCGGTTTTCTGCTGCGAATGTACAATTTCAACGTCCTCGGCCCGTTCGCTTTGTTCATGGCTCTGGGTACGCTCTGCATTGATGGAAGAGCCACGGGGATGCGTTTGATGCACCGATCCGCTGGCCTTTCTATTATTGACTTTCGAGGTATACAGTAATCGATAGAGAATGATCAGAAAGCACAGTGTAATGACTCGAACGGCTTCGAAGATCAAATTGTCCGCCGCGGTTTCGATGAATTCCGAAAACCAGCTGCCATTCCCTGTGAGTGCGTCCGACTTCGTAGGAACCAATGTCTTGGTCGACCGAAAAGCCTTGAATGTAGCAATTTCAAATGGAATAGCAATCAGCCAGCAAAAGAGATGCGCCACCGTCGGGGGTGCGTTATTGTAAATCAGAACAATCAGCTTGGTTGCGTAAAGGACGGAAATGCTCAGTCTGTAGATCTGCTCTCATGGTCAGTCGGTTGTCATTGATTCCGAAAAGTGTGTGCCAGTCAAGAACTTACTATAATCAAGTATACATGCCCTTGCTTCCTGGGAAGTTGCAAAGTAGCCAGCAAAGAGGCACATCCTTCTGTGAGGGATGTCGCGAACAGCAGCGAAGAGAGCCCAGCGAAAAGCCGCTTCACAGCCCGGGAATCCTCCTGCTTCTGTTCAGGGTCTCCTGCATCAGTAGAATCCTGGAGCGGTGCTACTCCTTTCAGAGCTTGATATCGCTTGAACAGTATTGAAAAAGAACAAGCGGCGAAGATGGAGATCAGAAAAATGATACCGCATGAATGAAACAACTCCAGTGACTCAAAAAGCACGCGAGCGTCCATGGCAGCTGAAACTTTCGCGAATGTTTCATAAAAACCAAAGTAATTATGATCACGCGAAGAGGACTGCGTCAACCTTGCAGGTTTAGAAAAGCTGATGTCAAGTTATCGGACAATTGGGCCAAGTGGAGTGATGAAATTGTAGCGACTTGGCTTGTGACTTAAGCGGACGCGTTGGTGAGGTGAGATGAATGGGTTGAAAGTAGACAAGAAATCGGATGGTAGAAACGGACAAGATCTTGGGGAAAGGTGGGAATAACACTGCGTAATTTACTACGAAAGGAATATATTACCCCCGGCAGAACTTGTAGTCCATACAGCTGGTCCCGACCATATACGCTTGTAAATTACGGCCTCATTTTGCTAAAGTCGTTGTCCAAGGCTATGCGAGTTTGAGTAACAGGGGACGAGCGCCCTAGGCCGACCTGCGAAGTGCAAAAACCACATTAAGCTACATGAGTAGGTTCGTCTCAGAATTGACTGTCCATGAGCTCAGCACCCAAAGCAGAACTCTGATATCGCTCCAAAGCATGGGGTTTCACTTCTGGACAATTGAATACGAGGCACGAGGCTGGGCCAAATGAAGGCTCCTGACCAATAGTCTGTATCTAACTCGGAAGAGTGGACCGCGTTAGCTGCTGGGGCCTGGGATTCCTTCCAGCTTGGCAATGAAGAAACAGGCTAATTCTAACTTGGTTAGCCAGGATGATGATCCTGCTTTATTATCTCGAGTGAGTTCGCCACGGGGCGCTTCTGCATGGCAAACCGTACAACCCCCGTTTGTCTCCACAAGCGAGAGCTCCAACCCTTCTGTACTCCATCTCTGCCATGCGCCGCCGGCCTTTCCTTCCGTCTTCAGCGAAGGCTTTTGCTCCTCGTGACAAACCGTATATTGTGCTCAATCCAAAGTATTCGGACTCACTGGCGAAAGTTCTTAGACAGGCAAAGCCGGAAGATTACACCATGCGCAAGCGAAAAGACTCTTCCAGACAGGCAACACTGCTGAGTATACTACTAGCACCCGACACTGCTATATGGACAATCTGTGAGACCGATTTGTTTCAAGTTTTATACCAAGCCGGACAGGAATATGGGCCGTCTCAAGCAAGCCTTACAGAGACCCGCTATATCCAAGCGCATGTCGTACATGTTGACACAATATCACGGAATGAGATGAGCTTTAAATTGACTTCCGAAACTATCCAAAGCTTGATCGAATTCTACGACATTAATATTTCATGCCATTTGAGCTCCTCCATTTCCAATGAGCCTCAGAAATCAACGGCCCCTTACCACAAAGATCCAAAGCAGGCATTTGTTCGAAAGATCAACGGATTTGTATTCTGTACTCCCGTTTCGGCCTTCGAGAGCCTGAAGAGTGATGGAACTGGGACTCTTCTTGGGAGACAAGCAATGGCGGCGCGTGAAGCTATAGAACGTCTGTTAGTGTCTGTAATAGCTACGCAGCAAGAGGGCAGTCTTCCGCAGCAAGCGGGCAGTCTTCCGCAGCAAGCGGGCAGTCTTCCGCAGCAAGAGGGCAGTCTTCCGCAGCAAGAGGGCAGTCTTCCGCAGCAAGAGGGCAGACTTTCGCAGCAGAAAGAGGGTCTGTTGCCGACCCAAGAAAGAGGACAGATTGGTTCTTTCAATAGCCATTCCTCTTTCGAGCCCTGGAGCATCGAGGAAGTTTTGCCTAATATGACCATCCCCTACCGCCCTCTTGCTCACACGGTATATACCGACCAGAGCTCCTCGCTCGGAGCAGTCTGGGGACCCCTTCCGCTTTTATCTAGAGATGAGCAGCAGTTTCCTGCACCTTATGCCCAGTTTTCATCGCGCTCTTCACTGCTTCAATGGCCGTCGACAATTGCAGGAGAGACTGGGGATACGGAGGAATTCGACGAGTCCGGAAGGCATTTCATGTCGGGCTAGAGGTAGGGCCGCTAGGACTGCTGTAGAGAACATAAAGACATTAGAAATGTATTCCAGACAATTGGTTTAGAATTAATCATTGCAGAAGCTTGCTGCGCTTCCTTGAATATGAGCTCTGACCTTTCATCAGCGACGTCAATCGAGTCTACTGATATTCAGTGCTGATTATTTTTCCTGGTTTCAACGCGGGCTGGCCCGATAATCATCGTTGGTCACACCGAATTTGATGTGCTTTGTTCAAGTTTCATCTGGCCAGTGACCTCTGAATTGGTTCCCGCCTCTACCAAAAAGACCCGAGGTGCCTCGTCAAGCAACCCCGACCCCGTGATTCCATGACCGCATACCAGGCGATTTCGATGCGAATCGGCGACTTCGAGGCGATACACCCGGCGGCTAAGCAGGGGCTAGTTTGTGATGTACTGCGGTAATACATTCGGACGGAGTGCGATACGTCATTCATTTCGTGCGAAAGAAGCTCTTGAAACCCTAAGGATGAGAATATCAGTGAAGGGATAAAATAGCTCAATACAGAACGTGAGGTGTTGCTTATTGTTCCAAGTAGAGCAGACCAGCTCAATAAACTGGCCGCAGCTGCCGGTGTGTCGAGCTCGAAGGAGTAGAAGGGGTACCCGAAGACACCTAGTCATTCTGACCTAGCAGAAATATCCATTCATGAATTAATTGTGCTCAATTTGAGCCTTCGGTCTTCTCAAGATGCGCGAGCTCGGCGGTCGTCGAAAGTAAGCTCAGATAGGGCAACGTGGAGCGTGCAAGCATTTGGATGAAGCGCTAGACCAGGCAGTTAGCTTTCCGTGGTTGAGCGAAAGAAATTGCTTCTGGGGAAGTAAGATACGTACCATGTGAATCAAAGCAGGACGGAGCGCCCTAACAGAGGAAAGCTGTGGCAATCAACCAGGCCAGATACAATCCAGCCATGAATCATACAAAGACCAGGCTTGCATTTCTGAGTGCATACCATTCTGAGCCGGTGAGAGAGAGAAGGATCACGGCTACCTCGAGAACCAGGGCTCACTGCTCACAGACAAAATTTGAAATCACTTGGTCGTAGGCGACCGGGCCCAGCATCTCACGCCCAGACAATGTCGATAGTCGTCAAGCTAAACCATCGATATAACGTCAATATCGTGACACAGTAGAGTATTGGCAGATAATCTGTGAAGATGACATTGTGTGGAGGAAGAGATCCTGGGATGGTAGGGGGTGGATGTAGGGAAGTAATGGGTGGTAGGAACATGTCCGGGCTCGCAGGCGCTACTTCTTTTCCATTCCTTTCCTGGAGACCACCATCGCTCCTTCATAATCTACGTCCCAATTTGTCGGTCAACATGATTTCTTCCCTTGTGGGATCGAATGGTTATGGTTCATGAATATGCACTGCTCATTCCAAGTCACGCCACAACTTCGACGCTTCAATTTACCTCTTGCCTACAGTTGCAACCTCCCGGCCATGCATCATGCTGATTCTCGGTGGTATACCTATATTCCTCTGCACCACTCGTCATGTATATTCTAGCTGACAATCAGACTATTGTATCAAGTTTTTATCTTTCTCGGCCCTCGCATCAATTCAGACGAGCCCCCTGATCGAACCTACTCGGACACCATGCTCGAAACTCAATGCAACCCCAGATGAGACTGTGAATCGACGAAAAGATTCTCTGATGATTGAGAGTCATACCCGCCTTATGCAGTTGGTTGGTTAATACTGATGACGTGCGGTGGACTGGTGTTTGTCAAGGGCCGGTTCCGTCAGGTTATAAGAGACGCTCCTTCGCTGTGGAGTTTGCTCTACTGTCTTTCTCGAGCTCCTTTCTAGTCGAGCCTACTCCGACAAGGACTTGCTGAGCCAACCATGAACCAACGGCAGAACGCTGAGATCAAAGGTGCCTCGGCTTGAATTACTTCATCTTGCTAGACGGGTGGGAGGTGGACCGAGATCGCGAACGATTTGAACACACCCTCAGTCGGTGGAATTGCCGGCATATACAGATGTTGGACCCTCGACACGAAATTTTGGTGGCTACACATGAGTCATATGAGAAACTTCAAAGTCTATAGAACTCGGGTACTATGTGATGGGACGTTTTCAAAAGTCTTTCTCGACTCCGAGAATCACAAGCAGCATTAATTCCCTACCATGTGTTTCATATAGCCATATGTGAAAGTCAACATATGCAACCTATCTTAAAGGCGAGGAGGAGCTTGAAGTGGAAGATAAAGCCATAGGTATACTATATACAGAGGACAAGGTCTTTCATTGAAGGGCTATTTTGACCCTGATTCTCTCCATCCAAGTAAGAGAGCGAATTTTCTCATCATGTCCTTCCGAACATCCTAGCATAGTGCGTAGTGCCACGGCTTTATCCCTGATTTTACAGTCGCTAGGATTTATCCCCAATTCCTGCTGAGATTTCACCCAGGTGAGGAGGCCATCTCAACGTCGGGAAATCTCCCTTTTGTTCGCTTCGTGGGCGTATGCACCATAGTGTGTATTCGAAGAATCAAGGTTCAGAAAGCTGGCAAAGTTCTGTTAGAGCTATCGGGCCAGTCCTGCCCAGTCGAATGGCATACCTGAACTGTTTGCGAAGGCGAGTCAAATGGATGTTCCAATTTAGCTGGTGTGAGGGCAAACAAGACACTGCCAGATGCGATCAGTGAGTATAAAGCCGCTAGGTGAGAAGTTCAATTTACAGGACTGAAAAGAAAGAGAAGAGAAACTTCGCTCAGACCAGCGTTCTGGCCCTTGCTTTTGGCATCTTCTTTTCCGGAGGGCCGAGATAGTCATTACTCTGTAGCCGGGCTCGCCGTTAAAGCAAAACACAAGCCATGCAAGTTCAATTGTCATATTTCAGCTGACCGTTTGAGCTTTGAGCTGATGAATATGATATCGATTCTTTCAAAGGGCATATTCAAGCCTGATACTAAAAATTCGGTACTGCGCAGTCAATCTAGGCGTAAAGCCCGCAGTTGGTAAATATCTATTTGAACAGATACAGTACGCATTTTCAAGAGTCTAGGCCATAACAGCCTCAGCCGAACCCGACTGACCAGTCGGGGCATAAGATCCAAGAAAGGAAGGTGCCACTCCAAAAGACCGGGGAGCCTGTAAAGGAATGCCCGACGTGGGAAACCGCGCCGTCTCCCTCATATCTGGTATCACCACGCCACTGCCTATCTACCACCATTATTGGACACTGATAGGAACATCCATTTCCTGTTCTAGAGCAGTGGGCCCAGAATCACTCTCGAACTTTGGTTCATATCCCCACTACGCGCACGAACCTGCTCGGGCAAGGCAATGGGTACTAGGAACGCTTTCGGTCATGCATGAGACCATGTCTGTGGGTGGATCCGTAAATCTTTACCTATTGAACAGGTACCTTGATACCAAGGAACCGATTCCGCCAAGCAGATGCACCTTACCTGTTCCGCTTCCGATGCTCATCATGTGGACGGACTAGTGAGATAGTGTCACTGTGGTCAATCGGCCCGCGTTGCTGACACACAGGTTGACAACATGACACTATGCGGTTCAGGTGCTTCAAATTTTGACCAGTCAAGCACAGGGGTCCATCAGTTTGCCGAGAAGCTGTCTTGGGCCTATCCCACCTTGGGAAGTGGAGAATGTGATTCCGGGCGTAGACTCTGGGTGACTCAGCCTCGGTGATTTGAGCCGTAGCTGACCCTATCAGTCCCAAGAGAAAGCATTGTGGGTCTTCTTTCGAAACAAATCGTATGGGGCTGCTTTGGTAGACTAGCGATGCAGCCTAAGCCTGTGCACAAGTCACCGGTTAGGTCTCCCTTCCCTCCTGGAAGGCCCCAACTCACCCAGACTTTTCAACTTCAGGTGGTAGCAATACTCACCTGCAAGCTCTCCTTGCTCATTCCGTGTGTACAGCTTTGCTGTTCAGTAATCCTTTCCAAATGGTCCTTCGGCACTTCACGTCGCACCGAGACGTGATCCAAGACGAGGCAGTCGACACGCCTCACGCCAATCTAACTCCTGATGGCTCCGAAACAGGCGAAAGTGGCCAGGTATGGCTAAATGTGAAGTTTATGCTGAAGCACTGTGCTTATGACAGGATGACTAGAGGCCTGCCCCGCGACCCGGCCCGCTACCTTCCTCAAGCATCACCGATTCAAAAGCGCACCATGCAGGGAGTCACACGGCTGGTAGAGGTATGTTGAGCCCCCGAGTTGCTGTCACTCGTTTGTTCAAGCTCTCTCTAGGACCATCAGACAGCACCAACACCACCACGCACAGATCGCGTGACAATGAGCAAGGTATCTTCTCCATCAGCTGAAACTCGGTTCTTCAGTTGCAATTTGCCTCATCTACTAAGCCCAGGCATTTTTAGGTCTTTGGCTTTCACATGAGACAGAGAAAACCAGCACGCGTGGTGAGGAAGGCCGCATTTGCACTGAAATAAGCGGCGGCTCACAGGTGCTGAATGGCGATGCGAAAATATGGCCACAGGCAGGTGCGAGTCGGACTCATACAATCACAGGGGGGGCAATAACACGTGGAAGCGTTCTTATCAATGGTGATATGGATCACGATACGTTCATGAAGATTTTTGGTCGGTCCCGCTGAGGTCAGCCTTTGTGGGATGGAATATTCACGGTATTCAGCAAATGACAGCTATTCCATAAATTGGAGAGACTGGCACATCCCTCAAGCTTCACTGGTAGATGATGCACATATACTCCGATTCTCTGGACAGACTAGCGCCTCCGGAAGTTCTGTTTAGGAGTCCAGCTCAAAACAATGTAGCCTCCATGTCTTTTTCATCCTCAACATGTTCCGTCATATTCATAGAGATTATTTCATAAATGTCGTTACTCACAACTCCATCAGCTGAATGGTACATAGCGCTTGCAGGAGCCATCTCCGACCAACACCACAAAGCAGGCAAGTCAGTATCTTTCTCGGCCTCGAACGCCACCTCGATAATTTTGGCTGCGACAGATCGTATCAATCCTGCGGTAATTTTGAAATCCCATTGACTGAGAAAACCGACCAAGGATCAATATTTCATGAGCCAAGAACGGCAAAGCGAAATCATCCCGCTTGTTCCTTGCCATAAATTTCCAAGGATGGCTAGTGGCATTTTTACCCAAAGCAGTATAGCGTAAAATGCATACCCTCCTTCAACGGGATGCTTTCCACCAGTCTTGACCTGATCTTACTTTTGTGGAGGTTTTCCAAAGACGCATCACCATTGGAACAGACTTTACCTCCACTTGACTTTCTGTCGGCTAAGACCATCAGATCTACTACTCCACCCGAGTACGGCCTTTGCGTCTGTTTGTGCATACAAGGCGACGGCGGAGGCGGAAATTCTCGAGCCGTTCAACCGTCTTTGGGCGTGCCTCTACCTCACCCACTTGACTCTACGAAGGTTTCAGAGGGCTGGATAAATTTCCTTCTGCCATCTCAACAATAAATTAGAAGACGGGTTGTGATGGGATGAAAGCTACATTGTCACTATCAGGTTTGGTATTCTCCATACAGAGGCTTTTCTTTCCCGAAAATTACAATAGTCAAACCCACAAACAATCTCCCCAAAGACTGAAAGCTCTTATTGGTGACTGCGGAGTTCCTCTCACTAGGTTGTTTCCAAGAAAGTGAGGCGTCTAATTAGTATTGGTCAAATCAAAGGTGCTTTGGGAAACATATGACACCTTGGAACAGAGCATTGACCGCATAAGGGTCCATTTTCTTCGTTCGTTCGAACAGCGTTGTGAAACCAGATGAAACCAAACAGAGCAAAGAAATGGTGGCTATCGCTACGTTGAACTCGTCACTCAACGAAGGCTGCAGGCTAGTATAAAGTGCCTACTGACACACGGAATTTCCCTTTTCAGCAAATATAGAAAGTCGTTTGGGAGAAACATACTGTATCTTTCCCACGTCTTGATTAATTCAGGCAATGATACAATTCATTCCATATGTAGTTCTCTGCACTATCTCCACGTTGGCTTGAATCTGTCCACAGCCTCCTGCGCCCCATGAAGCCTTTTGAATTCTTGATAATCAAACAATCTGGTTTCCAATTCTTTGGCTGTTTCTACTATGGCCAAAACTTGGGCGGTCTCTAGAGTGCATCTGCGATAGTAGATAGCCTCCAACCTCTTCACCTTCATCTTTTGTACTTCTTCGGGGGGTGAATGACAAAGCTCCGTAAAATATTGCAGAAAATTGCTCCAAAATGATGCTTCGTGATGGGGAAGACTTTGGTCCGACCCAGAGCTGAATGTGTCCATCATTTCGGGCCTGTTGTACCCGGAAACTTCCAGGAAAGCAGTCTCTCCATGAAGAGGATCTAGCCGCTCGATGGGTTTGTCTGCGATCTCGTCCTGGAACATCAGTCTGCGTCGGCTTTCGTCTGCGATCGCTTGAGCATACCTGCGGCGCCCTGAAGCATACATTCATCAATGAGGACATAATGGGTCTTCGACTAGGATCGCTTAGAAAATTTATCACGATGGTTGATAGATTGGATTTGGCCTCAACTTCTCAGACCTGGCCAGGGTGCCCCATTTAAATAGCAGTAGAATGCAAGCCATGCCCAGGGGCCTGCACCTGCTATCACACGTTCTGTGCTAGCCTAGACCCCCGTGCCTATCTCTCCAAGATTTTGTTTCGTTCTAAGCCTTTTTGGTTTAATGCCGGATTTCTGAGTCAGCTGCTTGGGATAGCCAAGTCGTCCCGGCAGTAACGAACTCCTTGCTTCACATATCGACCATGGCGAGTCTCCGCAACCCACCAGTCACGGCGGAGGGTCTGCTGCGAGACCTTTTATTTCAAATGGAGCATATGCTAGATTTTCTGGAAACGGATCTTACGCCTGCCATTATAGGACCGAAAGTAACCAAAGACAGTCCATGTGTTGTCGATCTCATTTCAGCCGGTGCAAGCTCCAGCAGATGGATCCTTCGGCTACGAACTATCCTTGAATGGTCGTCTCTTGCATCGGAAGAGGAGCATTGGCTTCAAGCACATGAAATGGAACTGGCGCCTCCAGGGAGTCACATCCAAGGCGTCTGGCTGATGCCGTCGTTTCTTCGTCATCTAGGTCGCTCAAACGATCACAATGCCCGCAGTGATCTCCAGCAGGGCAGGAAGCTGAGGCGAATGGAAGTGAAACTCGGTACTGGGATTGCGCTTGTACTAGCTCCCGTGATGCCTACCTTTCGGCGACTGTCCCTTGCGGAAGAAGCCAAATTTATTCAGCTTTTAGTGTCGGACTACCCAAGCATACTTTGCGAGACTCAAAGACTTCGGAATTTAAAAATGAAGTATCAAACATTGGTAAGTCAATTTGGCCTTGGTTGTGTCTAGTAGCTGATTTCGTCCCGATCAAGGTCACCCACCCGAGCCTTTCGTCATGCTAGGACATGAAGCGCCTAAACCATCATGAACTCGAAGACCTCTGAGCCCAGCATGTCATACCCCATTGGATCGCCACTGTTCCCTTGCCAGACAAAACATCCCCCGGCAGGCATTTCTATCTCCATTCTGATCGTTCCTTTCACGAAAAGGATTTCATGTGGCTGCAGCTTCCGCACAACTGGTCGCGTCACCAGGGTTGCCTCTCTTGGTAAATCGAGGGGATAAAGTTTGAAGACCACCTTAGCTTCGTCGCCCCGGGCAAGGTCTCGAAACGCCGATACCGCTTCACGCGACGGGTGCGCCAGTCGAGTGCCCCACGTGGAGTGGTCCTCGGTGGAGTGAACAATCACGGGTCCCTGGCGGAGAAGAAAATCGACGTCACCGATGGCCTCCGTGATTTTATTGGCGAACTGCAATCCGTCAGTCTCACCCGATCCATCTTGCGAGCACACCTACTGCGTTGTTTTCATCGGCCCCATGTCGCATAAAGCGCTTGCATGTGTTTGGGTCTCCTCGCCCATAGACGAGGGGATCCCTTTCGACTCTTGGTCTCGAGTGCAGACCTCGCTTCACTTCAGCGCTCATGTCGGGACCCTCCGAGGAAGCCGAAAATACAACGAAGCCTGTTATCTCCATGTCCGATGTAGGCTGTTCGCCTTGGTGAGGCGATATATTCGGAGGTGTTGTCATGTTGGCGGTGCTCTTTTGTCAAAACAGTCTAGCTTGATTGGGAATACGAAAACGAAGTTTTGTCAGTAATGAAAGGCAGCATGCATAGAGGGAGAGGTCTATGGCTTTATATATTCTGATTGATTGAGCAAGGTGAACGTAGGCAGGCAATTATAATAATCCTCGGTTCTCCAAGGGAAGCTCAGCCCAGTCAGATAATAATAGCGTGTATCCTATGGGCATTTTGTCTATCCTGAGCTACGTGTGCCTGTACTCGCGGTCTGGGATAAGTGCCTGAAGTTACTTCAATCTAGCTATGCGATCAAGCCTCCAAATCAACATCGTCCCATCTGACCTACATGTTAGACTACTTGTTATCCCCTAAGTTTGTGGAATACATGAGCCCAGCTTCTAGGCACGGCTTTGCATAAACCGTGTCGGATGAAATACTCTCTGACAAAATCGAGCTATTCAATTTGGGTCGGTAGAAACTGATGCAAATGTATGATTGGCGAAAGTCCTCATCAAAGAAGTCTCTTGCTCCGTACCAGGATGAAAGAAATCTCATTCGCCGCTGCTAGGGACAGTCATGCATTTCTCTGACGTAGAAAACTTCTCAGCCACTTTTTCAAGGTAGTACCTAGCCTCTCGAGCCCTTTCCCCTGTACAGATTGTTTCTAGTCCTTGCCTGAGTGTATTCATACAATTCATAGCATAATGCTTTCCTAAGCCTCGCATATACCAAGAGTAACCTTTGAAATGCTTGTTTTCGATCAAAGAACAGAAAATCCCCAACGCACATGTCGCAGAATCAATGCATTTCTCTGCAGCGGATTGTGTGTCGGATGTGATATCCCCGTCCAGGTAACTCTCAAAAGACGGAAAGTGAGCTGACTGGAGCAGATACTGAATGCAGTATCGCAATATACCCAGCTTAACTTTACACAGCTCTCCTTGCGAGTCGGAAGAATAAGGTCCTGCATAAAACTGGTTGCAGTCGTTCTCGATGCGCGACAGCTCACTCACAACTCCAGGTAGGCTCCATGATGATAAGAAGCCGTATTTCTTGCTTGCGTCGATAATGTCCGATATCGTGAGAACCCGAGACTGAAGCACGGTGAAGTCCATTACCGACAGAGATGAGTCTTCAAAGCTCATGGGCAGGTGCTGCATCTCCAAAGATTCCTTCCAATCGATACCAGCCATAAGGTATAGATTTTGAGAGACCTCTTGATCACAGGGGTCACTGTGTAGCTGGCCATTCATGAAGAGAAGCATTTTCAGGGCGATCCAGAGAGTTTTATTTTCCTCGCAAGCCATTGATTGAGTGGGGCGTCGGTGATAGCTTGTGGAGGTTGCCATTTGGTAAGCGGTGTGAAGATCTCTTGATACGTCTATCCCGCGGTGAACACGGCCATAGATTACGAGTACAAAAGCCTTCAGTGCGGCCGTCGATGGTTCAAAAGGTGGATTGTTGAGAGACAAACAATCCCAAGCAGCCTTCTCATACGCCATCGACAGCCTATCAAACAAACAAGCCCTCTCAGGGACTTCCTCCGCTCGGCATGCCAATGCCAAGATAGCGAACAGCAAGGACAGCCACGAGAGAGGCGCTCCGTCAGGATTCTGGCGGAAGCTCCTATACTCGTCCTCGAATTGGACAAAGGAAAAGGTACAAAATAGCTGTCTTGCCGTCAGTCATCGCACTTCCCGAGAATCAAGAAAAATTACCGGAAAGACGAATGCGAAGTATCGTGCCTTCAGTTTGTCAATCATTTCCCAGCCGGGCAAGGCATTGAGCGGCTCTTTGAATGTCACACAGTCTGACGTTTGATTGGCGTCATCCTCTTCGCGGTCGCTGAAGTCCAAACTGGGGGTGTGGCTTAGCTCCGATAAGGTAGTCACGGTGCTGGCCGTGGAAGGCGAGCCGACAGTATCACTTGGCCCATTTCGGATTCTCAGCGGTCCATTTATATCACAAGCGGTTGAAAGCTGATGAGTCGCCATCTTGTTAGAACCAAGATTTTTTGTCGATGTAAATTCGCACGCGTTCTCAATACTGCGAGCAATGCATGTTTCGCATGGTTTACCTTGACCGATGCAGCGGATTTTTCTTTTTCGGCACGGCAGGCAAGCGACCTTTTGTCTAGGTTGAATGAGAATCTTGCGTTTATTCTTATCATGTGGGATCTTCATTTCCTGGTAGCTTTTCTTGGAGAGCGCTGGCCTTGCTGGTAGGTCTTGTCTCAAAGACCGAGTAGTGCGGTATTGAAGCAATTATTAAAGAGTGATGTTCTTTGAATCCGGCTGGGGCCCAGGATTTTTATGATACAAGCCAGTGACTCATGACAGGGGTGAGCAAGACCCAATCTCGACGGGGTGAACTGCAGTTAAGCCTGGCCAAGAATAGAATCCCATATCAATCTTACTTCGGCGGTGGTGGAGGGGCGCCCGGCTTCTTGACGCCTGTTGTATCGTATGCGCCACGTCTGGAAGTCTTAGCTTGATTCAAAGTCCTCGGTTCATGGGCTAAACTTACCCCAGATTAGACATTGGGTCTTGCTTCAACGCCATATTATTCTTCCGCGTGTGAAAAATGTTTGAAAAGATTAGAATGATCTGACGTGTTCGCGTTGCGCAATTGGAAAGAATCTAATACTTTCAGATTCCTGCTGCCCACTCAAGATGTGGGCATTTATAGAATAAAGGAACAGCTGATAGTGGCAACTCTAAATTCAAATTGACAAATCAGATGTGGGTAATGTCTTACTTTGGAGTGGGAAATCACAAAGAAGAGAACGAATTAGAAAAAAAGCTGATTTGTTCTGCTTCTTCAATTGACTCTGTGTCCAGCACCATCTTGCGTCTATCTCATTGGCCAGTCCTCCGAGCAAGGTTGCAATGAAGTTACTAGGTGGGTCTTGTCTGCGAAGGAAATGTTTTACGAAAGAACCAATTATCGGAAAGGAGTTTCACGACGTTTTGCTAAATTCTTGGATTCGGTAGAACCGAACTAACGACGCATAAAACAAAAGCATTTGGAAAGTTGTTCAAGTCCACCTTCCCGATCTACCAGTTCAATATCAGAGGTTGAAAACTCGACCCGCCATTGCTCAATTACACCGTTCGGGTTTCGGACAGGATTCAATCGCTCCAAGACTGCCTTCTTGAACCAGCGGCCTCCCACGATCGCATCATACCCACCCTTGTATGTCGTCATGTCGTAGAACAAATCGCACTGAATCATAACCTCCCGCTGGGCGGCCAATATGATATGAGTGAACCGGCCTAGCAGGGTGCTCTTGAACTTTTCATCCTCAAGATGTTGGCATAGAAGGGCTTGGAAAGCCTTTCCCAGGTTGCCGTTCATTGTGTAATAGGCTGACCGAGTGATCATTATATCGTAGAGATAGCAGGCTGGAATGAAGTGTGTTTCAACAAAGACGTATTTGTCCAAGCATGCCTCTTTCAATTCATCCGAGGGCTCCATGTAGTGGCCTTTTTCATCGTACCAAGTAACAACTAATGGAATTCAGCATTGCTTTGGCTGCATCTTGTGCTAAACTCACTGTGGGAAAAATCTTTGAATAGCGCTTGTGGATCCATCTGAGGGTTAATAGAAAGCATGAAGACTCACCGGGCAGCTTTGGGTTTTATAATCATCGTCCAGTGGCATTGGGTGCGGCAATCCGACATTGAAAATCAAAAATCAATTCCAATAATATCGTTCCAATGGCTCGAACCTCCCCGGGTCATTCTCACCCATAAGCATTTCTTTCAGAGATCACCACCATCAATGCCAAGATACATCAAAGCACCCAAACAGCGAATCCAGGTAGTCCCGAAAGTTTTCATCGTCTCCACTATAAACCGCCTGGATCAGTTCTAACGAGAAAATCATTTTTCAGCTATTAGTTCAGTTGCAATGGACATTCTGATTGACACATTGCAGCCTAGCTAGCAATTGCGGCGTCCAGGACTTTTTACGGAAGTGAAATACAAGTCATCCACACTCTATGCAGTTACACTGCCCACTTGGATGGCCATTTATCAATTCATTGTGCAAATCACTTCTTAGTGTCTACCCACCACTAAGTCTCGGAGCAACGACGGAACAGGCCGGCCTGGCTCCGGATGCCAGGCATTTCTCACAACTAAAATTCCAAGGCTGCTTAACATCGACACTGACAGAACCTCCCTTACTGGCGTAAATAATCAGCCTGAAGTTATAATTCGCGCGTATCATGATACAAAAAAAGACACCAGCGAGTAAGTCAGCAGTAGTTGGGGAGCGTTTTCCATGCCTCTTTGTTCCCAGCTCGTAGGAAATCAACCAGGTCAGTCAGACCTGCTTCTTTCGCACTTGATAGACTCTCTTTCGAGTATGAAAGAAGGTCCGGGGCAGACGCCTTCACAGATCCAATCTTTCGGAAAGCAAGATCCTGAATGTATTCCAGAATCTCAGGTCGGCCCATTTGGTTTTGATTACAAGCAGCCCGGATGACTTCAACAGCAATATCCTGGGGCCAGCTAGGTGGACGAAGTGGACCTGCTAGAGACATGCGCATCATGACCAGGTGAAGGATGCGAGCACTGTCCTTGGTTTGGCGGACAGTGGCAGCGACCGCACAACTCCTTTGCTCGCAGACGTTATCATTATTCCACAGAAGCCAGCTAGTCGCCTCGAATCGGTCATGCTGGGCTGCGACTAGAAGGGGTGCAACATGGCCAGCTTCGGTGGAATACGGCCAGCATCCGCGCTACGTAAGCCAGTCAAAAAAAGATGCTGGGCTTGGGTGGTATTGAGCCATCGCAGGCCAAGTGATGTGAGGAAGTGTATGGACAGTAGATACAATATCAATCCCACGGGCTAGCATGCGTATAGCCAGATCTTCAGTAGCAAATAAACATACGGAAGCGTAATGTTCATGTTTGAGCACGTTTGACAGATCCAAGTCCGGTATGGATTCAATCTTCGTCCAGCAGGCATTGAACAACTCAGAATTAATCACAGACATCTCAAAGATAGACTGCTGCCAGTCATCGGCCATGATGGAGGTAGGTTCAAATATATGCTCAACGCTCATTTCCGATAATAGTTCACAGGCAATATCCACTCTTTTTTCACAAAGTGCGAGGCGAAAATAACTCTGGCTGCGCTGTTGAAGCCACTTGCAGATATGGCTTTGCTTCGGACAAGCTGTACAAAGCAATCACTTGGGCAACCACAAACAGCAAAAGAAGCCGTATCTAGGAGAAACTGCTTGTCCTGTATGAATTCCAGGCTCGCTGAAGCTTGTTTGAAGTCTTTGTAGATTCCCCAAGAGATTGCCATGATTTCGGATGAGTGCTGAAAGAACATGCGAATTTCATCCCGGGAACTCTCGGGCATCCGTTCATCTTGTTGTAGAATGTTTAGGGCATGAAGGGCCATGTGCGACTCATACGGTTCCGCGTTGAGCAGCTGCTCGTATAGGTGAGCCATGAATTCATAATCAAGGTCATCTGGGGTCTTTGGAGACATAAAAGAGCGGTTCAAAATGGACTGCAAAGATGCTGCCAAAGGGCGATCAATGGGCCCGAAGCTTGGTATGTGGGGGTTATCTGCCGTCGAAAGATCCCAGGCACATCCCGCGCTGAGCGCATCATATTCCTCGTGACTTGCTGGCGAAAGCCAAGTCATCCTATCCTTTTCAAGATCGTTCATTGACCCTCCTTGTTCTGAGCCTGCGTCTTTGATCTTTTTATGAAGTCAGATGTCATACCTAGCAATCTTCACTTTCTTGATGGGCCTTACATTTGACATTGCGTCGAACTCACATATGCAGTATGAGGGTATGAGCTGGAGATCGATCATTCATGGAACGAGGGCTACCAATGGGCTGATGGATGATTTATGTAGTGAAAGGATTCCCAATTCAAAAGCAAAGTCGCTGGATCCTGTAACAGATAAAGGCAATCAAAATTACGGCGTAGTAAATGAAAAGGAAGACTAAGACATAGACCAATTTGTCGAAATATTGATCCATTATCATTGCATTTAGAACGTGAAATTGTTGCAAGGCTCAAGCCGATTATATACCTGAGTACGAGAGCCTGAGGCCGGGAAGTTCCAGCACTAACGCGAATACGGCTGGAGCTGAGCAGAAGACATTCAAAGATAAAACACCCGTTATAATTTAATATTCTAAGCATCCTCTTATTTGTCTATTGTTAATGTCTATCTTGAGTCCCCCAGAACAATGAGGAACTGAGCATGTTGAGGCCTAGAAAGTGGGGCAATATCTACTAGCCACATAGATTGAACAAGGGCAAAGTTGATTCATTCAGGAGCATGCTCTGAAGCGCTAGATGCGGAATCAAATTGAAACAGGAATCCTTTCGATATGCACTTAAGCCAGTCTTCTCGATCCAACAACTTTTGACAGCTTAGTATCTTCTCCACATCCTTCTGCGATAAATTCTCCCCATGGATCGAATGTTCATATTTCACATCGATCTCGGTCTTATTCTTCAAAGTGGCACGCAACAATAAGAATGGGGTTTTTTTCGCCCCAGGCCAAGTTTCGACAGATTAAAATAATCCTAGATTGCGGGTAAACCCCGATATATTGCGTAGAAGCTCCGTAGTCAGACGCTGGGTAGTCTTGATTCCTTAGTAATTTGCATATATAGTGACATAGAGGCGAGACTTTCTTACTCGTCTTGAGTGCAATACATTTTTTGCAGCTGCTCCTTTGATGTGGCGGTTCGTATTTGGAGGTTCAGGCGACATCTTGAGTTTGGACTTTGAGATGAACAAGTCGAATACATAAATATACTTCTTCAAAAAATACCTGTTTTAAGAATTGGCATTTTCTTGGCTTAAATAGCAAAAATGGGTTCTCCCGAATAACTGTGTTATACATTGAAGGAACTAAGTGACCAATGGCTTAAGGAGTCCGAGGCATCGCTGCATTTATACATGATTCAGTACATGGTACCGGCTCTTTGATCTTAAGCTAACTGGTATTTTCGAAAACAACTCCAACAAACATAATGGAAAATGTTGAAATGAGGAATTGATGTACTGGCTAGTACTGTGCATGTCCAATAGAATCGGTTGATTGATTGATTGAAGGTCCCCCAGATCGGTTGAGCGATCTCTGAGACCTATTGACCGTGATCTGGTGTGTTACAACACCCTACCCGTATTTAGTCCTAGTACCATACCAATACTCGGGCAAATTGGGCGAACGATGAACAAGCCTATCCCAAAAGGCCATAGCGGTAATTGACCGCTTCCCAAGTTTGACAGTACACCCCAAACACCATTGTAAGTGCGATATTTTAAATTGTGGTGTTTCAACCTATAAGTGTTCATATAAGTTTGTGTAAGTTTATAGAATATTCAAGTGTCAAATATATCACCCTATTGTGCCAAATCTACTTTGAGGTAAAATGGTTAATGCATCACCCTGTCGGCGTGTGTTTTTGGTAATAAATGTAAATAACTATTTATTGGGAGACCTATACTAATTGATACATTGTCGGGAAATCTTCTACCAAAGATCAAGTAGTCAGGTGTTCTCATTGTTGATATATAGCCACTTTATTGGTGACCTCACGCAGTCAAGAGGAGCAAGAAGAGTTTAGTTTGGCCGCAACGGGTTACCTGTCGCTGCGGTCGTAGACCGTGGCGTCAGATAGGCCCCGTCCGCGCTCCCTTGAAGGGAGGCAATGTGTCTGTATTGTAGTGGATTCTATATACAGAGGGAAGGTGGGAGGGACAAAATTGACACTTGACTGCCTGAGAGATGACGAGCTACCCACAGAGGCCATCAACTGACTCTCGTGAGGCAGTTGTAGGAGGAAGAGGCCCTCGGAAATGTCGGTGTAGATATCACGTGAGGCTACAGACATGGTGAGGCTACAGACATGGTGAGGCTACAGGCATTGTGAGGCAACCCCAATAAAACCACTCCCTTTAAAAAATCGTGGTGTTTGGGGTGAACTACGTTAGTAATCTTGATTAGGTGATCCCCACGATTGTTGGATCACCTAATCAAGTTATTTCTCGACGGTCGGAATATCTATCCACCGCTCCCGCATTGGGGATTATGCGCCGTTGGAGCGTCCAAAGGACCCCGCATCGTCACTCCTGCCCGAAACCAACCCTTGAGGGCCCTCAAAACCAGTGTTTTCCTTTTCATGTGGGTTGCGACGACTTTTATAATCGACTATCCTAATAAATTTTCGACAGCTTCTGCTCCCAATCGGCCAGATCCGGCCTCGCACGTATCGAAACGTCGATCACATCACCCATGGCTACAAAGGTTGTGGGTGAGAACTTGGTCGAATCCCTGGACATACCAGCTTCCATAAAAGACATATACGCCGAGGCTTGCGAAAATGATCAATCTATGGCAGAATCCCTGGCCATTCCTTCTGATCGGATATCTGCCACGCTGTTGGTGCAGGGGCGTGGAAGGGAGGTTATTGCCAAGATTGAAGAACTATCTTTGGTGAGAACGCATGACTCAATTCCAAAATTCTGGCTCTGACTTTGAATAGAATAGGCCGGCTCGAAAAGAACGCCGATTAGACCATACCGGGATAAGACCTGCTATCCAGGTCTTTTCTCCGGGAGTGAACATAGTTGGCCAACCTTATATGGCAATTATACCATTCTATATCAGAGGGCAAGTGACACTCGGGGAAGAAATAGTTCAGATGAATCGTTATTATCATGTATATGGTGCATGTCGATTGATCATCGAGAATGGGGCCAAATTGGGTGTTTGGGCGTACAAATTGGGAATTTAGCATATTCATATCATGGCAATACATCAAGCCCCTGGTGGAATCATAGCCCGAAGTTTTGTTGTGCAGAGATATATTCAAAATCAAAACAAGACCTGGTGGCGATATCATTCAAAAACCCCGAAACATCGATAGGTTGAGTCGAAATTTGCTCATAAAAAATGTCCGCAAATTCCACTTGAGTACTTTCATTAAAATTTCGAGATTCGTTTATATTCTCGGGGTATGCAGCATCTTCAAACTCCGAGGTTTGTGAAACCGGAATTTCCGGGGCTTCAACAGGACACTCCCCGTAATTTCTTATAATTACTGGGTCATGACATGGACTCAATCGCGGGTAGTTCTGTGGGCTCGACATCGATCCTGAATTCTTATAAATAACTTGGTAAATTAGCACAAGAATAAAAGTACTATTAGTACGATACAACTCACCATCGTAAAAATTCTGTAATTCGATGAAGTACGGGCTAAGGTCGCGCACGAGATCAAGCAAATGAACCTTACTTTGCAAAATCGTAACATGCATGTCTTCTGACAACAATTTGTCCGCGAAGTTTGTCATTTCATTGTATCGCAACCTTCGAAATTGGTCGATATGCAGACCAACGATAGCGGAAATTGCATTGCACATGTTCGGGAGATCGCATCGTCCTAGACGGTCGGCAATGATCTTTTCCAACACCAAATGCTTGAGGCCAGCAGATAAGGCTTTGGATGAGAAGTCTTTGCTGTCATATTTGAAGATTTTCTGGGCAGGCTTCCGAAGCAAAGAGTGCTCACAAATTTCTTCAAGCTTCGTCGGTGATACCTTGTCGTCTATCTGCTTATTCGTGAATTCCAGAGCAATCGATCTGAGTGCAAGGATCCTCAGGAGTTTATCCTCATTGCCAAGAAATCGATCCCCTTCCACGCGCCTTATGTGCTCCAGCCGAGGGTCCTCGTCGCAATTCCGCTTGCGAGGCAAAATATGGCTTGTTCCTTTTTGACAAACCTCCCAAGCCCATTCTGCTGATTGCTTGACGCGTTTCAGCAAGTCAGGGACATGATCGGGAGGAGTGGGAGCATTAAGCAGTGCTGGTGATACAATGCTCAGGGAGGAGTCTCTACCTGGTAATAACGGGCAAGTGTCAGGAGATTGAGTAGGAAATTCTAAAAGAGATGGTTGGCGCGATTTCGGAGATGGTCCACCGGGTGGATGTCTTATTGCTGTCGTTTGGTAATCAGGAGAGCCGGCAATCTGAGAAGAACGAGAAAATTGTGGAGATGTAACGTTCGGGTCTCCCAGAGTTTTCTGATGGCTGACGGCAGACTGAAGAGGTCTGGGTGACTGTGGGGGAGATGGGACGCTTGTAAGTTCGCTGGGCGATGCCTGGAAACTGGGAGTCTCCGCAAATAAATTATGTTGAAGACGTTGACCGACCCTCCTGAGTGTCAAAATGGTCTGTGTAGCATGAGAGTGAAGAGAGTGATCAGATGCATTCCGTATTGTATCTAGGGCCAGTAAAAGATCCATTTTGAAGTGAAGCAGAACCAAGTGTAGCTCGAAATAACAAACTGGGGAGTCAGGCGTCCTCTTGAGTCTCCGGCGCCAAATTGCACCCACAGTTGACATTACAACGTGATCGATCGTTCCCTAAGCCTGGGCCCATAGTCGAATGTTAGACATTGCAAAGTGGAGTCACCCGCTGGACCTTGGGATCCACAGTCGTGTATCCAACATGTCGATGCAGGGTCATGCTGTGAGGTAGTTGGCTGGCCTGGATGTCTGTGCAGAGCGCGATAAGCGGCTGGAAATTGCCTTCGGCATCTTTTGTGCGGGAACTGGAGATTCAGTCGGTGGGTCATATGCGAGCTAGGGGCGGTCTGCTGAAATGATTGGACTGGTCGCAAACCTCTCAGCCAATATTTATTGACCCTTGCATGGATGCTCCAGGTCCAGCAGAATTCTCCACAATCCGACAAACAATCTTCGCCCTACTAATTATTCAATTTGGGTAGCACGCTTGGAAACAACAGCGAAGCTGGAACTTGATTGGTTGCAAAGGGGTTTGTCGGTCCGCACCCAACTTGGGTTTAAAGTGTGTGGCAATTGACGCCGAAGCTGCATGATCTTTCCGGGTAACACCTCCAAGGAGCCAGCTGACAGATCCTAGGAGCAGAGCCCCTATTTGAAACCCACAGTTATATTCCTGAAATGTAGAATAATATCTTCGTCTGACCCCCGGGGAAGGGCGCTGGCGTTTTGATCGGTATTTATTGCTACTCTGTGGAGCATGGAGTAGCACCGAAACCAGTTCAATGAAATGGGGATGGGGCTTCTGGGGCTAAATTTATCTCGACCAATAAATGACAGCATCAGGGACTTCCACCAATGCATTACTGCTTTGCACCTGATGGCAATGAAGGACGAGCTAGACATTAAACATATCACTGTCTTCCTTAGCGCTTGATCTTCTCAATTGGCACTGTTAAACCCACTCAAGCCCTGTCGACAGCCTCAAGTGGCAGGACTCCGCTTGAAAGCTCCATGCATATCTCATTGGTCAGGGTGAACGCCTGCATCATAGGATCAAAATTTTTGTTCCCAGTTTCAAAGTGTGTAAATGAAGTACACGGGTTGAATCAATCCTGAATTAAATTATTTGTAGGTCAATCACTTCAATCACATACTATGTACAAGAAGAGGACCAAGTGATATCCGGTAACTCCACCCTTCCACGTAGGTAATTTCCATGTAAAATCAAATAATGCGCAATGGACTAAGACGAATTAAACTTGACACTGTACAGGTACGTGGTTTATGTTTACATTGTGAGCTTCCCCCTTCGTGTGCCCGGCGGATCGAGAAGGCGAAGTTATTATTGACTTCCAACATCATGTAAAACGGGCATTTGTCTCACTGACAGCACGGTCGGCGGTCTACATGAGTGAAGGTATCTCATAATGGCCTGGTAAGGGCAAGTACGCAGAGAGACGAAGGAAATTTTGCAGGATGGAGGCAAAATGAGCCCCGCGTTCAACATCCATGAGCTTTTTCCGGTATGATGAGCAGCTACGTCCCGGTTCTGGATACTCGCTTCTTGGCACTAAAGGAAGGCACCTCGGAAGCCCAACAGTCTTTTTCTTATTGCCATTTTCATTGGTCATACAATTTTTCCTAAGCGATTCTTCGCTGCAACAGGGGCTCAGTGGATAACAAGTCACTCTTGGACATACACACACACGCAATTCATTAACGCCCGGCGGCTAAGCCGAAAGGGCAACTATCGCTGACCTACTTTACATGTCATAACATATACAGTACTGTGTCTCATTGGAGCCCATACATAAAACCTTGCCGTGTGTGTCTTTTCAGCCCGCAGTGTCGCAGCGGATGCTCGTGGGTTAGTAATTTGGTTAGTAGGCTGGCTTGAAGGCGCTTCTCCAAGTGTTCAACATCCTATCTTCGGCAGTTGAAGCACGTCTACTACATACTAGGCCGAGACTGGTGGAATGTATCCCGTTGAAGGAGGGTATGCATTCTGCGCTATACTGTTTTGGGGGAAATGCTACGGCCATCCCTCTATGGCGAGGAATAGACAAGATGATTTCGCCCTGCCGTTCTTGGCATTACAATACTGATTTTTGGTCGCTTTCCTCGGTTAATGAAATTTCAGAATTCACGGCAGGATCGATTCGATCTGTCGCAGTCAAGGCTATCGGGGTGGCGTTTGAGGTCGAGGTACTGACTTGTCTGCCTTAGGACAATGGTACTTTAATAGAGGGGTCGATTGTTAACCTATCCCAAGTTGGCTTAGTTGATTACTTGGCTAAATTTAGCCGGTGACAGCACTGCCCTGCTTGTAGATCGGTAATGCTTAAAGAACAATTAGTCTTAACAAATTAAGAGTAACACAAAAATATGAAGTCTCATTTTATGCAGCATCAACAAACTTCTTATTGCTTTAATATAAGTTGACCCCTGTTGTTGGATCCACGCCATCTTCGCAGGTGGAGAACATAAAAGTTGATTACTATTTAATTAATGATGAACATCAAAAAGCAATCTACCGCAGCGATTGCACTTGACAGTGGGTGAACGTGTTCATATCTAAGTATGTTCCCAAGCTCTTGCCCATTGAAATAGTTGTCGGGCTAAATAAGTCAGTCAAGCGCTAAGAAAGCGGGGGCCTGTGCGCCGCTCGTACGTCATTACTACGAGGGCTAGAGTCCTGTTTTGAAGCCTACATACTCCATGTAGCTGCACACCGGCTCTAGGTTAGACAACCCCAAACACCTCTTGGGCCAATAATGGATACGTTAGACTGTAGGAATGAGGCTGTAAAAACTTTCGTCGGAGTAGACCTAACAACGACCGCAATTGGATATGCGTGGCACAGCCTCGCGCTAATGCACGGGATTTCACGTCGGTTCTGTGCTCAGGGAAATCAGCCGACGCTCTCGGTCCAATGATACATGACATTTTTGACCCTTGTCATGCTGGAGACAAGTTGATCTGAAACCTTCATTGGAGTAACTCTTTGCTGATCCAGCCGTTCGAATTTCATCTTGACAGGGTAGCTGCAGGTGGCGTAGCCGCCGTTGTAAAGTTAAGAAAGCGAGAGCTTTGCACCGCTGATAGTTCTTTCAAAAGCTAGTGAAGGATTGAGCGCCTAGGAATTACTTAAAGGCCACAAATCCAGTTCTTTTCCTCGGAGTATTCCATCCTTTCTTCATCCACTGCTGCATCTTCAAGAAATAACTTTTCCCCATCCTACCATCTCCACAGCTTAGAAAAAAGCATGGATTTCTCACAGACCTATGACCCGACTACCTTTCACAGCATCTCCTCCCTTCATGATGCCAACAAGTATTTTGGTGAAAAGAACGGCCTTTCTTTTGTGGAAACAAAGCTAAAGCCTCTTATTCTGCGATACGGAGTGGAGAATATCTTTGGGGTCGCTCTTGTCCATCGCCATTTCGATCTGGAAGAGGGAACAGTCCTTGTGGAGAAAGACATGCTCACAGCTCCCTGGAAATGTGATGGTTCATTCGTAAAGCATGGTGGAAGAATTATCCCAAACTCTTGGTTCTTTAAAGAGGGCACGCCTCACCCTTACGAATTCGGGTTTTTCCCTTACTCGAAGGCCGATCCTCCACGACTTGAACAGCATGCATCTTTTGTTGAAGACTTTTTTGAAGCTATCAATTTTCACGGGCTGGGTCAATTTGTCGGTCTCCGTCGACTGTCTGGACACGAATCCACAGGAATGCTGGAGTGCACTGAGGGTAAAGTGAACATCATGTTTCCCAGCAATGAGGTTAGTCTACTGGCTCTGGCCTTATTATACCACAAGTCTCATCATAGAACAGATCCCCTCCAGTTATCTCCAAAATGGAACAGATACCATGTGGTTTTTTGATGGCCAGCCACCGTTCAAGATGTACCGATGTGTCTGCACGAACACAGGCAGTTCGTCGAACCCGAACCATAATCATATCGACCAGGCTTGAAGCACACTCAGCAAAGACTCTATTGGTGATTGGAATCCTTCGGCTATTGGCCGATTTGCCCATGAGTTATAATGCATACTTTTCCGCTTCAGATCAACACCCTGAGTGAATTTTGACTGTCTTTCCTGTCATTTCAGTTGTTCGAGCTCTCCTTAGAGCCTATTATTCTGTGGTTGAAAACTACTGTCATTCCGTTGAGCCCCTAGCGCTAGTTGCCTTCGTGCTTGAAATAGTATTCACAGTGATATATTTCGAATTAAATTGTGTGGAGCCAGTACATAAATTTCTTTTGTCTTAAAAGTTCTAATAAGCCTATAAACCAGAGCGAGGTCAAGTGACTTTGTCTAACGCTATAATTTCGCAATTGTCAAACGACGTTCCTGCAAAAATTGAATCACGGCAGACCGATGAGTCATCTTTTGTGGCACAAGCAAGGAGTTCCCCCCTTACATAAACCTTGCGGGCTTCTTTCACCCTCCAAAAAGTCGGCATCGTTAGCTCTTTTTTCTTCGCGTTTTAATTCTGGAAGAATTTTGTACTATAATGACAAGCTCGCTTGAATTGCTCTCTGGAGCCAGTCGCCTTCGCTTGGGAGTTAAATGCTCGCTTGCAGACGAAGATCCTTGCCTCGGTGGCTCACATCTTGTTTTTCAAATTGTCTTTGAGGACTCCGTACGGTGGGCTGCTCGAGTAAACAAAGATCCCGGCAATTGGAAAAGCGAACTGCGTGCCGTTAGACAATTTCAACACATCAAAAGATTACGCCCAGAGATCAGAGCGCCAAGTCTTTTCATTGAAGAACAGCGCCCTGTGCTGTATTCGGAATGGATCAGTGGCGAACCGTTAGCAACCTGGAATTCTCAAATTCCCATGTTTAAACGCTATAGGCTTCTGGAAGACCTTGCAGAGTTTCTGTTGCAACTATGGACTGTACCTGTACCATCCGACGTGGTCCAGGGAAAAAGTTGTCTATACTCTGTCTGGCTCACGGAAAGTCTAGATCGAGGCCTTCGGCGAACTCTCGGTGGCACCGCTAGGTGGGGCAATGCTATTGACTACCTGATCATGCGGTCTATGATCCCAGATTATGCTGCCGAGTTTGATGAATTTGCCGGCTTCGGCTTTGCTCATGGAGATCTGAACGCGCATAATATCATGAAAAGCGACGACTTTCATTTGACGGGGTAGGTACATTCTGTTGTTTCCTCTCCTTTGCATGACAACATTCTAACATTGGACTCATAGAGTCATTGACTGGGACTGGATGTCTGTGGCACCCCTGCCAGCTATTATTCATCATCCTTGGTTCATAGCAGACATTCCCGGATGGAGAAATGACGGTGTCACAGACGGCGAAAGCTTTGTGGATGATCGCCTATACCTCGAGACTTTGGTCAGGATGAAAGAGTCTTCCCAAAGCCTTCCTCTTAGGGCGTCGACACTTCTGGCTCGGTCCAGGAAGAGGCTATTTTTCCAGTCAGCCTTCCATTTCAAAGACGTCCATGAAAAATTTGTCAAGATGCACTGTCCGCGAACAGAAAATAACATCAGAGCTGCGAGACTACAGCTAGATACAGTGCTTACTTTGTATCCAGAGTTAGGGGACAAAGAAGGCGTGCTGGAAATCAAAAATATACTGGGAAGTAATGCTGAAAAATCAGACCCATGAAATAGTTCGGCTGCTTGTTGAAAAAGTACTGAACTGACGTCATTGGTACAAGTAAAAGGGACACTTACGGTTTGTTTATTCTCACTGTTAAAAGAACAAGTCGGTTAATCTCAAATGAAAAATTATACAGCATCAGAAATGGCGTCAGTCGTCTGTAGAAGATCATTGGAATTCACATCTTTCCTCATGTCTGATTTGGTATGCTCAATCCACAAATACTTAACCCTCTCTCGTCCAACTTCTGAAAGTGCGCTGAAGCTAAGAAATTTAATCAAAAATTGCGAGATTCAGTGTGATCCGGCAGGTGCTTGCACAATGGCTCTTCCAATTTTTTGTACTCTTGATCTAGAACAATTACTGTGGAAGTAAATTTCCATCAAACAAGGAAGTAGGCCGAAGATTCCCAGTCAAGAATCCCTTCTAAATTTCCACTATCCACGATAGTAGTAGTATTGACTGGTCGCATTGAGTGAAGCTATAGCGTCGGATCGAGAGCTTGACCATGCATCGGCCGTACCTCACGAACGAGGAGGTCGTGTCTTTCTTGTCAATGCGATCAACGCAGAGTTTATAGGTATGGAGACGCTAAACCGCAAGAGATAAAACCGACCCGAAGAGGCAATGTCTGCCGTTGACAGTACACCTCTTAGGTCGATACTTATTCTGTCGGATTCAATAGTCTCGTAATAACAGGTTACCTAATGAAAAATGAATGGTTTACTGCCCCTTCGTACATAATTGGTATGTGTCACGAGATTCAATCTCTGGCTCACATTGTAGAAAAATAAGTCATACTTGCCTAATTAGGAAGTAGATGCTTTCTTGAAAAGATCGCATTTCTGAAGGGTTTGTGTCTATTTTGATGCTTCTGAGAAGCTTTGAATGTTCAAGTGACCATTTATGGCAACTGCGCAGCTTTGCCAGGACTACCAAAGCTGAAGGGGTGTGTCGGAACTAGACCTGCCAATATGGGACCGGAAAAAAAATATTCTTGTCCAAGTCCCATTTGCCAAGATCCCATGGGATTTACTAAGCGCAATGGGACTCCTATGGGATTCCCATGGGATCCCATGGGAATCCCAGCTAGATCCCATATCCCTTATTTCCTGCATAATTGCCTAAAGAGGAAATGGATTAATTAATGTAAATTACGAAGGTAATTTTGGCTGTTTTATATTTGTTTTACTAGTTACAGTCAGGGATATCATAAAGATATATATCTACACCCAGGGACTACTTATATTTTCCTAGCCTTATGAATCTCTACTTTTTTTCCCTAAAATTAGCTAAAATAGTGATTTTTAATATATTTTCGATTAGAACTAGTCATTTTTATCTTATTTCTTCTAAACTCGATATCAATATAAGAGATTTCCAGGAAATTATTAAAGAGATATATGTTAGCCTACTTATCACGTGATTAACTTCACTAAAAGTTAAACCCCTAATATAGGGGTTCAACTTGATTAATCCAATTCAAAGGTAGAAGAGGGGGGAGAGGGTTATTAGTAGTAATTTTCCTCTGTATCTTAAATCCTCTATACATAGTCAATACAGCGGAAAATTTCAACAAAGTTATGCAGTCATGTGATTATTCCTAATCTGGCTAGATCGAGTCCCATGGGATCCCATGGGACCACCCTTCTTGTCCAAATCCCAGAAGCAGAATCCCATAGGACTTACGTAAGTGGGATTTCCCATGGCTTAACGTGATCCACGGTCGCCCGAGCGACCCCATCGAAAATCCACTTCAATAATAATACATACTTTTTAACCACAACAAAAATGCCACCCCAACGCTCTGAGAAAAAAACAAAATTGATAGAGCAAGAAGGTCGCCTTTTATTAGCTATAAAAGCTATAAAAGATGGTAAATATCCCTCTGCTGCAGCTGCTGCACGATCTTTTGAGATACCTGTCTCAACTTTGAAGGCCCGGATCAATGGGCGCGAATCTGCTGCTGAAAAGAGGGCATCTGGTCACATATTCGCCCAAATTGAGGAGCAATCGATAGAGAATTGGCTACTTGATATGGACTCAAGAGGTGCAGCTCTTACTTTGCCTATGTTGCGAGATATGGCCAATCTTTTACTTAGTGCAAAGAAAAACACACTATCTACCACTGGTATCAATTGGCCTTCTCAATTCATCAAATGACACCCGAATCTCTCTACTCGACTCTCTCGTAAATACGACTATCAGAGAGCACTCTCAGAAGACCCCCGGATCATTAAGCCATGGTTTGATTTAGTTCAAAAGACCATTGAAAAGTGGGGTATTGTTTCAGACGATATCTTCAACTTTGATGAGAGTGGTTTTGCTATGGGTATCGGCGCAACACAAAAAATTATCACTTCTGCAGAATACCACGGGAAAAGAGCTCTTTTGCAGGCTGGAAATCGTGAATGGGTAACCACAATTGAGTGTATTCGAGCTTCTGGAAGTGTTATGCCTCCACTCTTCATTTTCAAGGGAAAAATGTTTCCAGAGCATCTACGTCCCTATCTCCTTTTAAACCAAAAAGGAACTCATCTGAATATGAGTGAAAATGGCTGGACTACTAATACAATTGGTTTATGGTGGTTGAAACACCTTTTTATTCCAAATATTGGGACAAGAGTGGGAAAATATTGCCTACTGGTCCTCGATGGCCATGGGAGTCATTTGACCCCCGAATTTGACCAACTTTGCGAAGAAAACCAAATTATCGCAATCTGCATGCCTCCTCATGCCTCTCACCTTTTACAACCTTTGGATGTGGGCTGTTTTTCGGTTTTGAAGAGGCTTTATGGAGGAGCGGTTTCAACCTTAATGCGGAATGGAGTGAACTCTATTGATAAGGAGGATTTCCTTGAAATAATCGCAGATGCGAGAATTGGTGCTTTTAAGACCTCTACTATACAAAATAGCTTTTCAGCTAATGGATTAGCACCATTCCATGCTAATAAAGTCTTGGAAAAGCTAAATGTGCGCCTGGATTCTCTTCCTCCTTTCGAGATCATCTCTCAAAGACCACTCTCTTCCGGTAGTGATAGTGATCCAAATACTCTTTGGACTCTCTCAAAATTCACAAAATCGCAATCTCGGATCAAAAAAGGTCTAGAATCTTCTTCTTCAATCCTATTCTTCACCAACAAAAAGGGAGATTGAGAAGACCTACAACATGACTATCAAAGTGGTCCACCACCATATTTTTCTCCAGAATCGCTGCGCCCAGCTAGAGGCAACCAATAAGAAACAGACCAAAAAACGAGAGACAATACCAAAGTTTACTACCCAGAAAGGCATCTTTGGGGGTCTAGAGGGTGGTGAAGATGATGTGGTCTACAAGGATGAAGATGTAAGTAAATATATATATTTACCAGAGGTATCTACAAATGCGGTTGTTGAGCCTACCTTACCTTCTATGCCTCTAATTCGGCGGCAAGTGACATGTTCTGGGTGCGGGATAGAAGGGCATACATATAATTACTGCCCTACTCGCTTTAGATAACAAAATTATGTCGTTTTTGTGATTTTAATAGTCATTGAAAATTGGTGATTTTTGAAAAGTTGGTGGGGTCGCTCGGGCGGCCGTGGATCACGTTAGTCAGAATCCGCACATAAGAACCATGGTTCGAGGGCGGGTAATAATTCAGACAATTACACGATTGAGTGCGGACCCTATTGGTCGATAAATTACGTCTGTTTACGTGAGCCGACAGGGCCCGTAAATCACGTGCATTTCCCAATACCGACTCTTTATTGATTATTATTTCGTTCGCTCACTGAGCAGGGAGGTGAGCAGGGTGAGCATGGAGAAAACAGTTATCCAATGTTGCGTCGACGACGCCCATAATTTACCTCAGCGTTGCTTCTCAAACGGCGCCCCGGCTGCCTCCATCGAAGCTGGAGAGATCCGTGATTTGATACAGAGCGAATCTTTGACCACATCACAGATGGCCGCAGCTGCCGAGTGTAGCAGTAATCGCAATATTATTCGCTCACGAGATGACTTTCGTTCATTCGCCAGGTTATACCCCCTTTTCCAGTTCTTCCCCCTTTTCCAGTTACAGTATTCCCCCTGAATCTCGTCTGGCTTATCCCCCCTGCTTTATTGGGGCCGTGTGATCCTGTGATTATGGGGCTAAGTAGGCAGATTAGGCAGGTGGCTTGTCGATCACCTTTCGCGTTTTCAGGGGCTTTAAAACTCTTCCTTCGTCGGGCGCGGCCGCATCCTCCGTCCGTAAAGGCTCTATATTAAATCAAAAGACTGTGGCCCTGTCACCGATTATAAACTTTAATCATGTGGCAAAAAAAGCAATAGAGATAATATTTCAGTCTCTGCATTGACATCAAGATATGGAAACTTATTAAAAAGGGAAAACCCGTACCGAGACTTGTTCAACTGCAAGTATCCCCACCTTATAGCAATATCGTTGTCCGGTTTGGATAGAGCAGGTTGGAGGCCTTCTCTATCCGTACATCGATCAAGATTGTAATGAGACTTTCGGGTATATATTAAGACCCAATCAATCAG